AGTGATCGGCAAGCCTCTGATTGGTCGGCGAAAATGTCGAAGGGGCGTGCTCGGTATTTTCCGGCAGCAGAGCAAGAACTCATGAGTGCGGGATTTCAGGAGTTTCAGAGTTTAATTAAAACGCAAGGGAACACTGCAAAGGCTGCAAAAGCAAGGAGAGAGGGCTGGCAGAAAGTTGCTGACAAATCAAACTCGTAAGTAATTTAATAATAACAATAATAATGGAGTGGGTTTATATAGCGCTTTTCAAGGCACCCAAAGCGCATGACAATACCACTATTCAGTCACTTTATTATTTAGCCTATTTATAGATTTATTATATTACACTATATTATCCAATATTATATTACATTATATTATATTGTCATATTATATCCCCTTTCACATTAGAGCCACAACAGGACCCACTAGAACATGGGAACAAGTAAAAGTGAAATATAAGAATATTCTACAGAATGGTAATATTTATCACTTATATTGCTTTTCGTCTCTTGGAAAGAGACCCTGAAATAATCTGTTTGTTTGTTCATAACAGCAACCAAGAAAAGGGCAGAGCAAAAAAAGACAGGTGGTGGTCCTGCACCCCCTCGTCAACAAGTTGGTTAAGTGAATAATACCCTCACGGGAATATCGATATCTCTCAATGAGCACACTGTCGCGCTGAGCTAAAGGATCCTGTCTGTCCCGCAATATACGCTGAATTCTGAGGACTCTCCTTATCAATCTTGCACCTTCCGCAATGGGTGGCTCGCGTATACGGACAGGACATGGCTGCGACAGGCTTCCCAAATCCACCTTCGCTTTTATAGCCGTGGTCTCTCATCTTGATTACACGAAGTAATTTACAATTGCTACTCTGAAATATGAATTACATCTGTAATAATCACATACATGTAATAGAATGTTAATAGTTCATTTCCCTTTTTTAGGAAATGACCTGTATGTATCTGTGTGACATCAATACAAGGATCAAGTGCTGCATTATCTTTAGTTACATTGATGTTATTTATTTATGGTGAAACAGTGGTGGAATATCGCTGTTGCTTTCGTATAAATGAAGCGGACATACCTGCGTGGCCGCGATCTAATCCTGTTTACATAAAGTAAACCTGCTCCCGAGCAGGTTTACGCTTACGGCTCTGTTGCTATGACAGCAAGTCCCGGATGAGCTTCGGGGAACCGAACGATCCAGGATCACGCGAAATCGTCAACAATCTAATCCAGCTAACTTACTTAGCGAGGTACGAAGAACGGGCCCCTGGTCTGAAACCGTAGTGACACAACAAAACAAGCTCACCTCTGCCAGTAAGATCCTTCTGAAGGCATTGGCAATGGCTGCATCAATCCCCACCATGTCGAACTCCATACTGTTTTCATCCAGATGCACGACATCGATTCTGAAGTTCTGCAAAGAAACAGGAGAGTTCCATTTCTATTTAGAATCACACGCATTTGTTAAAGGCACAAGCGAAGCACTGGTCTTTTATTTAGCACGTTAGTCACTCTAGTCTGTACACATCTTTGTCCAAATACACATTCAATACTTTTTACTGGTGGACAGACAAATGTAAGGAAAAGGCAGGTGACTAACATAACCCAAAGGTGCTGCTGGCGTCGAATCAGGCCAGGAATGATGCTTAGAGTAATTATGACCCTGTGGTGTGTTAAAAGCAGTACTTTGGTTAAATGCTTTAAGTTACTACTGAACGTCTGCACTTCAGCCGCATCTCGATTACTTGATTAAAAATGAAATGTGGTGGTATGCATAGGTGAAATTACAAATCTGTTGCTGTGCAAACATTTGGGGGTGGCTGTAGCTCAGATGGCAGAGCAGGTCAGCCACTAATCAGAAGGTCGGTGGTTCGATCCCAGGCTGCCTCCTGGCTGCATGCCAAATATCCTTGGGCAAGATACTAACCCCATGTTTGCCTACTGGTGGTGGTCAGAGGGCCCGGTGGCGCCAGTGTCCGGCAGCCTCGCCCCGCAGCTGTGGCTACAATGTAGCTGCCATCACCAGTGTGTGAGTGTGTGGATGACTGGATGTAGTGTGAAGCGCTTTGGGGTCCTTAGGGACTAGAAAAGCGCTGTACAAATGCAGGCCATTTATACACATTATGGACCAAACTGGCCAGTAAGAAGCGCAGATCCCTGTAAAGACTCCAAATAAGCCGGATCAGCATCTTGTGCATCATTCCCAATAGCGCACAAAAGCCATGTGAGATTTACAGAAGAAAACTGATGACATTCGTCCTCCCAGCGTTTACAGGCCCACCGCAGTGACAACATTTTACCTTTTGAAATTTCTCCACGTTCCAAGTGTCGTCATATCCGGGGTAGTTTCCAGGGAAATCCGTAGTATGAACCTAAGAGCAACAGATAAATAATGGCTGAGAGTAATAAGAGACAACAACAGCGCACAGGTCCACAAGTATGATCAGACACATTCTGTCGGGGATACCTAGTTTGGCACGACACCGGCAGGTGACACTACTAGTGAATAATCAACGTAGAAACACATTCTGCTTTCACCTCCATGTATGATTGTTGTATATTATAATAAGTGCTCATTAAGTAATATTAATGCAGTCCGTGTCAAACACACGTATTAGTTAAAGCGTGTCAGTCAGAGCCTCACTACCCCACAGAGGACATGCTGTGCGTCTCCAAATCTACGATCACAGCCGCACTTACATTCGTCACACCAAATTCTCCCAATATTACTCGATTCCGAATTTCTTCCACGTTCTCCATGCGGGCTGCCATTTTGCCGAGTGGGCGGGGAGTCTTTGGCTCCGCCCGCACCTCCTTTACGGTACAGTAGTGGTTCTCTCCTCTCCATCAGCAGCTGTATGAATCAGGGGGTTTCTCTCTAATATGCACGCGGAGAAATTTGGCTCATATACGGGAGCCAAGATCAAAATCGCAGCATCGGGTGTTTTTCACAGTATGCTCATACTGCAGTGTTCATGGACTTTGCGCCAGTTCACACTGAGTGATGAATAAAAACTGCAGTCATTCGTCAGTAGCACTCGGAGGCACTGTGTGGTTATCGGTGATCAATAATCAGTTCTTTGTGGTTGATATGGTGGTGATAGACGCAAAGGCCAACATCAAGCACTCAGCCTACGAAAAAGAACTCGGTGGGATAAACTGTGCATTGAGTAAAAGTCAGTCGTTTAAAAATGATCTAGTTTCAAGTCTTGGTTTCCGCTTTAGTTTTTGGCGTCTCCCCCATCCTTATTTCATGATTTGGTTTGGTCCAGGTGCACGCGCTCCTAGCTGACGCTGAGCTCTAGAAGGGGGTGCTTGTTTTTGTCCTTTTATTCAACATGTAATTGGTGCAGGCAGACCCTTTTTAAAAATCACTTCATCTGACGACCTGCTGCCAGGCCAAACCTCTGGCTCAGCTGTCCGGCTCTCCGTATACACTCCTGAAATCTGAAGAAGTAGGTGAGATTTTTTGTGTTAAAAATGTGTCAGATTAACACATTTTACTTGCCTGTACCGTGTTAAATATAATCTCTCTCTCTCTATATATATATATATATATATATATATATATATATATATGTTTAAATTATCATTAACAATATTAAAAAGTTAAATAAAATGGCTTGCACATGTCTCATCAATCTTACACAAAATCAAAAAAAACTTTATCTCTGCAAAATATTGATCCATGTCTGCTCAGTGTTATATTTTTAGGGCCGGAGCCTTACACTATGGACCAGGGTTTTGACTTATCCAGGTAACATCAGGGTTAACCCTGGGTAAATTGCCATGGTAACCTGCTCTGGAGTAGGTTTGAAATCATTGCCTACTGACCAATCAATTCTCCAGAAAATAGTGTCACCATTCCATGTCTGACAGAGTATTAGGGGCACATTAAGTTAAACAAAAAGTGTTACGGTAATTTTCAGATTAAAGACAGAATTTTGAGATTAAACTTAAAATACTATTTTGAGAAAAAAGTTGAAATGTGGAGACTGCAGTTGTCATTTTAAGCCAGGGCTGTCGAACTGCAGGCCTCGAGGCCCGGTGCCCTGCAGGTTTTAGATATCACCGTGGGTCACCACACCTGAATCACCTTGCGTCTGTCCAATGCCAGGTATTTCATTTTGTACACAGTCGTGTGTTCTTCCTTCTGACCAGATGCAGCTTTCTGCAATCTTTTCAAAGCTCTTACAAGGAAATTATTTCCTTCTAACTAAAAACAATTCTGAAGTATGATCACAAACTCATGTACACAAAGCGTTTTCTAGAAGGCTTTAATCTCCACATTTCAACTTTACTCTCAAAATATCATTTTGAAGTTAATCTAGACATTTTGAATCTATTCTCATAATGATCAATAATATATATTTTTTCTTAATGTGGTCCTAATATTCCTTTGTATCCCTCGGACCTCTGTGCTCAAACAGCAGGAGGGCCTGAAGTTTAATAATACCATGTAATGTCTTTATGTTTCCCTAAAGAGCATCTGCAACAAATAATAAATAATGTAGATTTTTAATGCAATGCTTTCTCTGTTAGCAGCAAAAATTGCAATATTTTTATTGTTCTATAAGCTTTCATATCAGATCCTGAAACAGGACATCTGCTATGTACTTGCACAACTTCTATCAAATTTGCACTAAGTTTGAATTGTGTTTTTATATGTAATCTTTACTCTTGAACCATAAACAGCAGAGTCTGTAGATAAAGAAGTAAAAACTAAAACTGTTGGGAACGTGTGTTATAGATTCTCGTGGAGTTTTTTGTTAATCGGTCACATTTATAGTTCGCCTTGTAATCGGAAGGTTGCCGGTTCGAGCCCCAGCTTGGACAGTCTCGGTCGTTGTGTCCTTGGGCGAGATACTTCACCCGTTGCCTACTGGTGGTGGTCAGAGGGCCCGGTGGCGCCAGTGTCCGGCAGCCTCGCCTCTGTCAGTGCGCCCCAGGGTGGCTGTGGCTACAATGTAGCTGCCATCACCAGTGTGTGAATGTGTGGATGACTGGATATGTAAAGCGCTTTGGGGTCCTTAGGGAGGAGTAAAGCGCTATATAAATACAGGCCATTTACCATTTTACTTTGATCTGTGACAAACTGACGTGATTTCCACATCTCCTTTATCAGGTTGTGGGACTGTATTTAAATTAATTAAAATCTTATTGTGTATTGTATCCTTTTTACAAAAGTGTTGTATTTTATTGGTATATGCTTTTGATCTTCACATTTTTTTTTTTATCACAATTTGATAACATCTCTGAGAAGGTGGCACTCATAGGGATCATTTTCTGTAGAAGGGTCATATGATGTGAACTCGCAGGGGAAACGCTGGGTTAACTTGATGAGTTGATAACCTTCACTCACTATGTGTTTTACACACCACTGTGCAGTTAATCGTGAGTTATTATTATATTAAGATATGGGGAACTTCAGGCATTTTTCATTCATGAAACACTCTTAATAAAAGGTAGAGATTCAGTTCAACAGCTAGAACTAGATTAGATGAAAACATTGACAATTTTAATCACCAATAAAAATGCAGCATTAAAGAGGTGAAACGTGTAAGTTTTAGCAGTTTCCCAGAGAACTGTCATGGAGTCTGTTAACTCCAAAAGAATGAATGTTATTTAGACGTTGGTACTGTACTGTTTGTGCAAAACTGGCAGTGAAAAGAGATGTTGACTGAGCTAAACACCAATTTAATTAACAGTAATAGTGCACAGAAGCATATTATGGACTACTGATGAATGATGTCTGCATCCACTGAGAGATAAATAGAATATGTCCCTGGGTAATATTTCACTGAGAAATGATGGAACAAAAATTTGTTGTTTTTTGTTTTATTTCTTTTTAACATTTTCTTTGTCATAGTGATCTTTAATCATTATCAGGCTTTCATAACCTTTACAATATTTGAATAAGGATCACTTTCTGAAAAGTTTTTCCATTCAATTTGGTATAGAGGTTTGTCTTATAAGAATGCAGTATCATCCAGACATTTGAGGTTGACGCTATGAGCAGCCCTTGTGGCTACTAAGCACAGTGTTCAGGTCCTGTTCATCTGTCAGGTGCTCAGTTAATCAACAGCTGCAGAGCTGCAACTGCAGCAAGCCGGAGATTGGAGGTAGCCCATCATCCTTCTTTTTCTGTGACAGCCAGCATTCCTGACTTGCTGGGAGGGGTTGGGGTTTTGCTGTGAGAGCTTGGCCGCACGGTTTGCTGTCTCCTTGATCTGCAGCTCAAGGTGTTTCTGGATGGCGAGACCCAGCTCCTCAGGGTCCACGGAGGCCCCATAGACCTCCCATGTCATCCCTTCTGCATCCCACTTCACTTCCTTGACTGGGGACTTAGGTGCACCACTTGCTTTTTTATCTCTGTCGCTGTCAGTCTGGCTAGAAGACATCTTACTCTTGTTAGCTTCTGCCAGATAGATCTGAGGGAACACATGAGAACCGGTGGTCTGATTTGTCTGCACCCCGATATCTCTCAGAACTTTTTGGGCTGTCATAGTTCCCATGTCACGCGTTGTGATTCTTTCTTGGCCAGTTGTCGTACTGCACCAGTCATCTTTACCTAAGTGTTTTTGGGAGCATGGTGGGCCAGTACCAGGTGGCAGTGAACTAATCCAGGAGCAGCTCAGATTGCAGCAACGCAGCAAATGTTTGGCATCTAAGCCAGTCTCACTAACAGAGGAGAAGAGGCGAGGCAGTGTAAGGTGGTTTCCTGCTGAAGAAGGTGGTACTGGAGGCTGGATACTGGAGCTTGCCAGACGTGGCAGCATCTGCGAGGGGGCTGGAATAGGCTGAGGATGGCAGTAGGCAGCAAATGTATCCTCAAAATTGGCATGGTGGATATAGGAGCTGCAACAGTGTGGCTTGTCACATTTAGTGGAAAGAGGGCCGCCTTCTCCTTGACACTGCGCTTTGATATCTGCGTCATCAGATGAGATACAGAGACCTCTCCTCTGAGGATGCTGTAAGCTACAGTCTCCACTGCAAATAGTGGTAACCGTGTTGCACTGATGTAGCTGCATGGGCTGCTTGCAAGCCATCATGGAGTGAGTCTCAGCCTCTTGGACGCTTGCATCTCTGCTGTGGAAAGCAATTTCAGTTTTCGCCAAAGGCAAAGTGTCCGAGTGACTCCTGTGAACAATCAGGGCGGCCAGCTTCACATTCTGCTCTGTTCTGATGGTCTCAGGATAATTAGTGTTTGTATTCACAACTATCTCATCATTGTCTGAAAGTGTTTCTGTCACAACTGGACGAAGTGGGTGATTTGAAGCCATGATGAGCGGGAAGTGTTCAGATGGGCTTTGTTGGTGTTTAGCGGTTCCTGTTGCAGTAGGAGTTGAATGACATTGTTCTTCACAGATTTCACTGGGGGATTTCTCCTGGCAGTTGTAACATGGTCGTTGAGGCAGTCCAGAGGGTGATGTTACTTGTGTAGGTGTCTCTGTGGTGTCAAAGACGGACTGGCTGGAAAAAATAGGCTGCAGTGGAATAGTTCCTCCCATTGGATGCAGCTCTGACATGGGACGCCCTGCCTCTGCCATGGAAGGCCTTTAGGAAGAAATACAACATATTGTGTAGGTGACAGCACAGATACAACAGAGCAGAAAACAGAATAATAAATGCATACTTTAATACTGCATTCATTATTTAATTCAATAAAAATACTAATACTTATTTGTTCACAATAGTGAATTGTGATGTATTTTCCAGCTGACAAGATGAATTTGCAAAAAATAAGCACAGTCCACAAATGACTGTTTAAAATAGCTACAGTGCTACATGGTGCTGTAGTAACATAAATCATTACAAATTTTCAGTGTTTACCCAATTTTTAATAAACCACCATGGACTTGTACACTAGAAGGACAGTGCATATGTTGAACAAAGTTGAAGATGGAGCTGCAAACAGGAGGAAACGAGGAAGACCACAAAAAAGATCCATGGCTGTAGTGAAGGAGGAGATGCAAACGGTTGGTGTGCCAGAGAAGAATGGTAAGGATAGGGTGAAATGAAGGCAGATGACCTGCTGTGGTGACCGTTCTAAGGCTTGCACATGCTATGCTCCATGTGAGCAATCCTTTAACCTCTAACCTGCCACCAGCTAAAGGTTTTTCCAATGTTTCTTTAAACTACTGTAAATCTTGAACAGTTTGTGCAATCTTAAAAATTCCAATGGTTTCTGAAAGGAGCGACTCAGTGCTTTTCACTGATATTAGAGTCATTAAGGTAATCACAAGCACAGCGCCACAGCAGCATCACGAAGATGAAGGTCGAAAGAGAGTGCGAAGGAGTTATACAGAAAACTGACATTATGTTTGACATTTTGTTTTTGCTGTGTTTTTCATGTTTCGTGCCAAGTTTTTTGTATTTTTGTTATTTTAAATTTTACTTATCACCTATCAGCAAACGTGCACTGCCCAGCCTTCTTCCAGCACCTGAAAAAGCAGGGATTTGAGGCTTGTAGAACAGTGCAGAGTGGGTTGATTATCCACTCGGGAAAATGTTGGATAAAAGTGAGCACCAGCGCTGTGCAGAGATGTTTTAGGGTTAGGGTTAAGTTAAAAAGGAGCACACAGAACCAGGCTGAATAAGAACAACCCACATTCATCAAGAATCTAATATGGGATCATATTGGTGACAGCACTTGGAACCATAAGGCAACAGATTTTTAAAAAACTGTAGGAAATAAACTAGACTCTGCCTGTGACTCACTCTTCCTCCTTCCATCTCCTCTGATCCATCACTCTCCACTTGCTGTCCATCTGACAACAAGGCACAATTTGCTATTGCACTGATCTATTATTTAATTATCCACACTTAAACTCGTTTCACCTAATCCATGATAAAGTAATGACAGAAGAATGTTATAGAACCAAAGCACTGCAGTTGTGTTTATTATTGTTTTTATAGTTGAGTAATAACTTAAAAAAATCTATACACAAACACACACACGGACATACAGTGAGATTTTATACGTTCTCCACAATACTGTATATACTATGGCCACAATAAAAACTGATCCACAATCTTTTCCTTATTATTTATTCCTAGTGATATAATAATAATAATAAAGTAATAAGAGCAAAAAAATTAAGGCATACATATAAAATAATGTATTTATGATAATTCAGTTTGTTTGACTATTCACTCTGTGCAGGCAGAAAACTTATTAAATGTTTAAACTGTAGAAATAGAATCATTTTGCTGCTGTAAAATCAGCATTTTGTCATATTTGAAATATAAATCTAATATATTCTGTTTCTTAATTATTTTCTTTAAAACAGAATCTGTGTGTGTGTGTGTGTGTGTGTGTGTGTGTGTTCTTACTATCATAATTATAATGCACATTAGATGCTTATTAGATGCCCCCCCACCCCCCGACTATGTGCTCCACAAATTATTTATGACCAGTGTTGGGTGTAACGCGTTACTGCAATTAAGTTACTTTTCCACTGAAAGAGTAGAGTAACTGATTGCTGTTCATTTTTAGGTATTTCAATTACAGTTACTTACAATGTACTTGCGTTACATGGTAAAATAATTAAACTGGCTGAATATTTGATTTCAATCATTTGTCTTCTAAACGTAGAAGTAAACTCTGCTGCTTTAACATGGCTGTAGTGCAGCTGCGCGTCATTTCACACCGGTTTGCTGCACAGTCGTTTTCTACAGCGGAAGCTGTCGGACTGAAGTGAGTGGCTGTTTTTTGAGGTGGACATATTCCCGTCTCTTCACTTTTCTGAAACGAGCAGACAAGAACATTACAGTAATATGTAAAAACTATGGGCTGCTGTTCATAGCACGAGTCCTCTACTGAAGCGCCTGACACGGAGCATAGACGAACACTTCTGAGCGATCCTTGTTCATCATCCATGGATAACACCGCGGCAACTCCCGCTAGGCAGCAAAACCTGATTTTACTTCAGCAGCGCAGAAAGCGTCTGAAGGTGAGCTTAAAAACGACTGCAGGCTACACTGTGGAAGAGATGCTGCCGCTGCGTACTGCAGAGTCTCCGTCTTTATTCATTATTTAAAGAGTTTAATTTCTATCGTCTGCCACTCGAGGTTTAGAGGGATTCTAAGAAGTATTTGGTTAAATTACTTATTTAGTAATGAAGTTACTTTTCAGACACAGTAATTAGATAAGTATTTGAAATACAATATTGACTAAGTAATTAGTAATGAATTACTTTTTTAAAGTAACTTACCCAACACTGGTTATAACTATAGAATAAATAGTGTTTCTCGCTCATTTCTCATATCTAGTGGTATTTTCAAGCTTGGAATATTTCCTCATTAGAGAAATTAGTTTTCATCCCCTAAAGCTAGACTTGGTAACCTGGGAGGGATTGCCAAGGCAACGGCCTCTGGCCACTTTTGCCACTGCCTGCCGCAAAGTAATAGACCACTCCAACTCTTCCTTAGATTAGATCCACAAGGCAGGCTCCCAGTATTTCTGCTCTGTGTGAGGTTACTTGGTTATATTATCTCCATAACGGTCATCTGATGAGAACCATTCATCAATCCAGCCACCTTTCAGAAAAGCTATTTTCTGCTGCTTGACCAGCAAACTGACAGCTTCACTTTCACACTCAGCTCTCGCTTCACTACAGTGTAGAGCCTGATCATCGAGCTCCCTCCCTAGAACCGGCTCCAGGATAGGGCCTCATCCTCCCTTTAACCCTAACCAGTTGCAGCAGATGGCCACCGATTCTTAAGTCTGGTTCTGCCTGATGTTTCTTCCTGTGAAAAGCGAGGGGGGTCTGACTGTTGGAAGTTTTTCTGTTTTCACGCTATTATTGTGCGACCTTTCCCCCCTTAAATAGTTTAGAAATTCTACTCAATTCAGTTTAATTGAATAA